GTCTATAGGAGTTTTTCCCCTTAATAAAGGAAATAATCATTTTAAAAACACATTTGTGTATTTACTCAGGTTATCTTTGTGTGACAAATATGCAAAAAAAATACATCAGGAAGTAGAAAATAGTTTTTCAACAACCCTCCACAGATGTCATAACTCGAAGAACCGCAACTTTCCATTTTTTAATTTTTGTTTGTGCATGCAAATTGTGACGTAAGAACCAGCAGTTGACCTGGTACACCATAGTCAGTAGAGACTAAAAGAAGAAGAAGAAACCACTTGTCTTGCTCAATCTATTGGTTAAACCAACCAGACTAGCAGACACAAAATAAGAAAATAAAGACACAACAGAAACATTTTATCAGTGCTGTACCTGAGAGAATGTGTTAACTGTTGGAATGGTTTATGGAATGGTTGACTTGAAATAACATCATTTGAATGCCATTTTTATTCTGCTGAGAAGTTAAGCAAATGTTCCAATGAACATTTGCCTCGATGCAAAGCTGTTTGTTCAGACATTTGCTTCAACTTCATGAGGAAGCTTAAGGCATTTTCTATGAAATGCTCATCCTTGCTAACCTGCTTATTTAACAAATACCATAAAACATCCTGCAAACAGTGTCTGTGCCATCATCTGTCTTGACCCATACAACCAGCCTGTCCGCGGGGCCCCCTGTCATCTTGTAGAAGAACTGCAGACACTGAAGCTTCCTCTTGGGGTAGAGGATTCGAGGTTCCAGCATAGCAGACTCCTGGGGCTCCCCAGTCATAGTGTTGAAGTGCATGAAGTATCCAGCATAAAAAAAAAACAAATAAACATAAGACAATCTATAATAATGTTTCATTCCCTCTGAAATTACAGTAAACATGAAGAGACATTATTCAGACCTCTGCATTGCCCCAGGAGTGTGTGATCCAGTGTGCCTGCAGAGCTCTGAGTGTAGACACACTTCACATCATCAGAGGCCTGGATCATCCCACAAATGCTTGCATACTCAAAGGTACACTGATCCAGCAGGATGAGTGGCCCGGCTGTATGAGAATGAGAGGAGGGGTATGCACATAGGAATGTGTTTTACACAGTCCTATAGCTGTCAGATTAAAAAGTCGACTCACAGAAGCCCAGTGTGACAACATATACATACAGCAGTTGTACATCCTGGTGAGCCTGAGGGTGTCCATCTTGCTGAAATCAAGGTACTGGCCAATAATATTGTAGAACTCTGGGATTTTGGTGGTGATAGTGGGGATGGATTCATTCTTGTTGGAGGAGAAGTGCCTGTAGTGCATGACGGACTCATAGTCGTATGCAGTGTTTTGATCAGTGATGAAGTCGTCATTGTATTTGTTGAAGTTATGTGGAAGTTCTGCAGGAAATGTTCTCTTATTTAATAAATGTTATCATAAAAAAGCAATCATAAATAACTGTACATTTGACACTTCAATTATGTGTCACAATACACAATACAATGCATCATAGCATTACACTATAATGATTGTAGCATTTATGTTTGCGTGTTCCCTGCCTCTCGTGCACAGCGCAGGGTTTGCTAGTGTAACTATCTATGCAGCAGTACACTTTATCCTAATATTTTTTTGAGTCAATTTCTACATAGAAAATGGCTGAAAAGAATGAAAGAACTACATATACCTGACGTAACCTGGTCCAGCCAGATGTTGTCCATGCGGGACTGTTCATGGTAAAATCCCAGAGCACAGAGCAGCTCGTGCTCAACCACTGTGGTCACAGCCTGGTCCCAGTGACAAGATCTGACCTGTCTGCTGGTCACCAACACTAGAGAAGCACCTATGGGAGAGGAAGTTTTTGATAACAAATTATAACTGCAAACGTTCAAAGCTTGAAAATCAAGTCACCAGTTATGACATAACCCCTCCAAAGTAACTAAGGAAATTACCAACTGTTTTCAAGTACTATCTGTGATTTTTGTCTAAGCAAAAAAAGGTTACCCACACATTCTTGATAAACATTAGACAGTACAAGGATAAGTATATAAAATGTTAATAACTAAAGGTATATAGTGCCTCTAAGCTTTTTGGACATTAGTGTTCCTCTGTGAAATTTCGTCATCAAGCCTGAACCTGAATGCACCGCTGAGTCCACCAAAACCATTGGTGTCACAGTTCATGACTGTAGTAAATATGAGTGCCGTCCCCTTCAAACAGGTCGGCATCTGATCCTACAGCACGGTAAAAAAAAAA